ATGGCCAGGTAAGATTCCATTAAACCAGCCTTCTCTAAGTCACTGGGCCACCTCCAGGGCACTGGTAATTGGCCAGATCTAATACCCACCTCCTCTCTGCCAGAAGTGAGGTGCAAGAAGCACCTATAAAGAAGTGAAATATTAGATTTGTGGAAAGACTGTTCATTTTGTCTCCCTCAACTACTTTTTCCCTTTGCTTCATTTACTATTAGGATACAATTCAAGTTCCATCACATACAATGGAGCTTACTTACAACACAAAGGAAGTGGGTAATGTATTTGGTTCATCATCCAGCCTTGAATCATTAAGAGGAAAGCTTGACCAATCTTCTAGAACCTCTAAAACAGTGACAGCAAACCCCTTTTATTATTCTGAGGGCAAAGAACTAGAATTCTAGGCCTCACGCAAGCTCTTCATATCTTTCTCTCTTTCTACTTCCAGTTCCTCTTAGCCAACTGTCTCCAAAATGCCCTTTCTGGGCACGCAGAAAGAAAGAGGGACATGTCCTTTTGTAGGGTATGAAGCACATTGGCTGTTGTTACTTCTCCAAGTGAAGCTGAGCAGAAAACTACTGGCAAGTCTAAGGCAGAAATGGGGCAGAAAGAAGACTGGAAAACAGCAAGACAAGGAAAGAGAAATGTCCTATCATAGTCTGGGGTGCCATAACAGGGAGCTGGCTGCTCTTTGGACCAATGACTTGCTACCAATTTTATTTATTTAGCGAGAGTCTCATCACCCAGGCTGGAGTGCAGTGGTGTGATTTCGGCTCACTACAACCTGCATCTCCCACAAGCAATCCTCCCACCTCAGCCTCCCAAGAAGACTACAGCCACACACCACCACGCCTGGCTAATTTTTTGATGTTCTTGTTGTTATTATTGTTGTTTTTTGGGTAGAGACAGGGTTTTGCCGCATTGCCCAGGCTGGTCTCAAACTCCTGGGCTCAAGTGATCTGCCTGCATCAGCCTCCCAAAATGCTGGAATCACAGGCGTGAACCACCACACCTGGCCTACCAATTTTAAACATAAGAGTTGGCACTAAAAACGGTGACCCATTCTTTATATAAAGACTGGCCAGTGACAGTCTCAAAGACACTATTCGAGAATTAACTCTGTGGTAATGGCAAGAAAAGAAAAAAAATGAGAAAGAACTAGAAGAAAGAAGAAAAGGCAGAGAGAAGGAGTCTCAATGTATCTTAATCATGACCCTTTCAAAAACAACCAAGTATATCCTTCCCTACAGCAAACACTTCCTGTCATTTCTATCTAATGGAATGTGCAGGGATGGTCTGAAGAGATGCATTCAACAATAAAGGAAGCTGCCGGGTAAGAATATCCAGGGTATCACCTCTCAAGAGTCATCGTTTTTCTTTTGGTTCTGGGGACACAGCTGGACTGTCAGATACGCTGCCACAGGAAAAGGCATGCACCTACAAGGGAGACAGAGGAAAGGGCTGAAGGGAGAGACAAAGACGGAAGCTGAGAGAAGACCCAGATTTCAGAGTATCTCTATGGGTTCTATAAGTTTAATAAATAATATTCTTGGATTTACTATGGAGTCAGTCCTGCCAAAACCTACACTTGGACTTGAAACCTAATTGAAGAAAAGTCATTCAAAAATACCAAAATGAGTGAAAGCACGACCAAAAAAAATTATTTTAAGAGTAAGAATTAATGGAGCATATTTAGGAGAGAGAGAATTTAGGAAGGGGAGAGAGAGAGAGAGACAGCTATACACACAATATTAAAAGGAGGCATCTGAAAAGGTAACAAAAACAATGCAAGACTTCTTGTATTTTGTAGAGCTCAGTAGCACAAAGGTTGAGTGTCTGGTAGGGGCTGCTCAGGACTGAGAAATGACCGAAGGTGTACGGCGGAAGGTCAATGATCAGAATTCTAAGGCTATTCGTACAGAATGTACAGAATTCTAAGGCTAATTCTAAGGACTAAAGAAAAAACTGCCCTTGGTGTTGAGGCTGAGTCAGAAGGCAAGTGAAGCCAGGGGACTACAAAGAAAGACATTTCAGGTGAAAATGAGATCCAAACTTCAGCATGCCGTAGAAAAGCTGCTGAAAACAGGTAATTCCAATTATACCTGCCATCTATGTAACAGTCACAATTTGTAAGTTAACTTACCACTGCATACCTCATTTCATTCCTCAATAAGCTCTGTGAAGTGGTTAGGTAGGGCGGGTATCCTTGTTACCACATTCCAGGAAGAAACTAAAGCTTTGTGGGGTCGGGTGATTTCCCAGGTGTTATGGCTGCTAAGTGGGAGAGTGAGGACTCCTAGTGAGCTCTTCTGACTTCTACTCCAGTGCTTACTCCACTATACCATCACTCAGGAGTACCAGAAACATCACTAAGGGGAAGGTGGATTTGGAAAATACTTAAGTGAAGGGCCAAAGTCAGCAATGTAAAGCACATGACCTGCATGGAGGGTGGTAGAAGTGGACCCTGCTGGTCTGTGGAAAAATGTGGAACGATGACAGCTCAACATGGCATGAAAGTCACCATGGGGAAAGGAGA